CCAAATCATGTAGAAGGAAATAATAAAGAGCAGAAATGAGAGAAACTGAAAACATAAAGAAAATATAAAGAAGAGCAATGAAACCAAAAGCTGTCTCTTTGAAAAGACCGATAAAATTGATAAACTTGTAGCAGGACTGACAAAGAATAAAAGAGGAAAGATAAATTACCAATACTAGGAATGAAAGGGGATTATCACTACAGTGGCCACAGACATTCAAAAGATAACAAGGCAGTACTTCAAACCACTCTACAAACATAATGTAGACAACTTAGACGAAATAGACCAATTCCTCAAAGCCACCAACTACCAAAACTCACTCAAGATGAAACAGATAAACTGAATGGTCCTTATGACTAGAAAAAATAAATTTGTAGTTTAAAAACCTCCCTGGAAAAAAAGCTCCAGGGACAGATGGCTTCACTGGTGAATTATATCAAACACTTGAGTTAAAAATAAAATCAATATTAAACAACCTCTATTAGAAAACTGAAGAGCAGAAAACACTTCCAAATTCATTTTATAAGGCCAATATCAAGCTGATACCAATACAAGACAAAAACAGTACAAGAAAAATACAAAACAATATCCCTCCCTAATATGAACATGAAAATCTTCAACAAAATATAAGAAATCATAACCAAGTTAGAAATAACAAAAATAATTTACACACATATCTCACACACACACAGAGAAAACAAAAGGAACACTTCAAAAAACACTACAAAATCCAATAATACTCTTTTTCCAAACCAAAATTATTTCTTGTAAATGCAAAAAAAATCTATCCCTAAAAAAATTCTTTCAGTTCTCCAGAATAAGTAAAAAGAATTCATTGTATTAATCACTGTTGGAAAAATCAGTACAACATTTCCCTCTCCCCACTCAAAAGTTCCCGGGGGTGAGCTCAAACTAGGCAATACCAAACAAATATACCCCATCCTTCAGGGTAGAGTATTTGGTTCAAGGATGGGCACAAGACTCAATGAGAGACAACAAGAAACAATGTGGTTTCTAAGAAAACAAAGTGCTCTCTTCTCTACAGAGTTCTCTTTTCTACAGACGTTGTCGTATGAAGACAGGAAGCTTTGAGTTGCTGCAGTCATCCTGCTAAGAAGCCATCCTGAAGACATCAACACATAGAGGAAATCAGAGGAAAGAGATAAAGGAAAAAGCCTAGCTGGAATCATATCTATTCGAGGACTTCAGTGAGCTGATTAAATTTATCTTTTAGTTTAAGCCATTTTGAAATGGATTTTCTGTTATCTGGACATGAAGAACCCTCTGACGCCAAGGGCTAACTAGATAGAAGTCAGAGGAATACCGACTTCAGTTATCATATAAAATAATTTTTTAATAATTAAGGTTAAGAAAAGGAAAAGGACATGTTTTAGGTTGTTTTCCTTATAATCTAGAATACTGCAAGTAAAGGTTCAATATCTGCCTCTATATTCCAACAATAACAGAGAGGCTAGACTTTTAAAGTTCCTTTCAACTCTAAGATTCTGATTCTGTAAAGGCATATTGAATTTGGGAGGTCAAATGAGACACTCAGAACTACTACTTCTCTCCTAGACTCCTATTTAAACAAAAAGGTAAAAAATAATTTTTTAAAAAAATCCAAAATCATTCTCACTAGCAAGAATATGAGATGAAGAAAAGAAACAAAGTAGGAAACAAAGTCTTAAACTTTGTTTACTAATCCTTTAATAAACTAACTTCATATCTAAAAACATAAGACAAAATAAACATTAAAGGAGCCATTCCTACTTAGCTTATTTGACTGGAAAAAAATTGCAACCACTCAAAAATTTTAATAAAAGATATAAGTACCTAGTTTATTACTGAAAATTCTGCAGACTGCATTATCACTTTTTCTACCATTTCACTATACTTTTCTACTCACAGTGGATTTTTCCCATGTGCTGGTATTAGTTTTTTTCTATCTTTAAAGTTTACTTAAGCAATATAAAACAGCAGTTAGAAGCATGGACCTCAGCATTAGACTGCTTGGAGTCAAATCCTAGTTCCATTATTTTCCAGCTGTATGACCTTGGGTGAGTTAGTAAACCGTAACTATGCTTCAGTTTCCTCATCTGTAGAATGGGAACAATAGTAATAGTACCTGCGCCTCACAGGACTGTTGTGGATACTAAATAAGTTCATTCACATAAATCGCTTACATCAGTCCTTGCCATATAGTACATTTATTAGTCTGCTCAGGCTGCCCTAACAAAATACCATAGACTACAAGAATTAAACAACAGAGATTTATTTTCTCACAGTTCTGAAGGCTAGAAGTCCAAACTCAAGGTTCCAGTTTTTAGTGAGGGCCTTCTTCTTGGTTTGTAGATGTCCACCTTCTCTCTATCTTCACACAGCCTTTTCTTGGTGCATGCGCATGGGGAGAGAGAGCTTAGGTGTCTCTTACTCTTCTTTTTTTTTTTTGAGGAAGATTAGCCCTGAACTAAAGTCTGCTGCCAATCCTCCTCCTTTTGCTGAGGAAGAGTGGCCCTGAGCTAACATCCATGCCCATCTTCCTCTACTTTATATGTGGGACACCTACCACAGCATGGCTTGCCAAGTGGTGCCATGTCTGCACCTGGGATCTGAGCCAGCGAACCCCGGGGCTGCTGAAGTGGAACATGCGCACTTAACCAATGCGCCACCCAGCCAGCCCCTCTTCCTCTTCTTTTAAGGGCTCCAATCCTATCTGATCCGGGCCAAGCACTTATGACCTCATTTGACCTTAATTATCTCCTAAAGGCTCTATCTCCAAATACAGGTCCCATTGGGGGTTAGAGCATCAACACATGGATTTGTGCGGGGTGACACTGTTCAGTCCACAGCTGTATGCACTATATAAATACTGTTCATGCTGTTACTATTAACATGTATATGACTGTTGTTCTAAAGGAAAACAGAGTCTTACTACAAACCCAATTATAGAATCTCTAAAGCAAATAACTGACAACACGCCAGATTGGCAGCAAAGAAAGTAAACCTTTTTTTTGGAATATACTCAATTGCTATTCATTTACACGAAGATCCCTTTGAAATGGAAGACCAAAGCCAGCAAAGTCTTGCTTCTGTCCCCCTTTAACTCAGAATGAATGGGCTCATTTTGTAAAGTTTCCCTTTCCAACTCTAACCTCCTTTAATCTCCATTTTCTCACAAATAACTCTCAGTCAACCCAGTCAATCAGCTTAAGTGCTCCTAATGACCAGCAGACAAGCTCACCTGACAACCATCTGAGCCTGCCAGGCCCCAGTCATCATTTACCAACCTCATCAAACAGCGATCTACAAAGTTCACTTTTGAAGAAGTCTGACAAATTCACCACAAATTAAAACCATGTTTCATTAAAAAATACGTTTTATGAAAAAAATAAATGCTATTATTTTTAAAAAGAAAAAACATTAAGTCAAAACTTCTCCATTAGGATTTTAACAAAATTATGTAAGAAAGAAACATCCCTTTTGCTCACTAAAATAAAGATTTATGTTGACTTACAAGGAATGAAATTTTACAAGTTACCTGAAAGCTCCTTTATCTTCAAGATTTAAATTCAGCAAACAATCTTTCCTTACACGGTTATTGCAATGATTAAATGAAATAACGTATGTTATTTATCTACTACCTTGCCTTGGACCAGTATCTATTTGATAAATGTTAATCCATTAGATGTTCTGAGAAATAAGGTTAAAAATGAAGCGGAAAATTAACATCCAATTCTTTACATATTTATATTCCAATCCTTTAAAAGGGCTCATGGTTTAACACTGAGTTTATGCAGAGGGATAAGTTACTTGAAGAGAGGGTCTAATTTTACTTAATTATTATGTATAATGTCTCTTACTGCACTAATCTCTCATACTGTGGCATCCACAAACAATGGGAACTTCCCAATCTGCAACCTCTGCTGAGGAAATGAACTTTATTTCATTAAGTGACACCTACTAAATTGAATGTCTTATTATGAGATCTTTGGTGTCTTTGATTACCTAAAGGAAAATTTTTTCCATTATTCCTGCATTCCACCAACTCTCAAACCCAGGAGAAATGATCTTTTCAGTCATTTTCTTTTTTGACAGAAAACAACCAAGCAAAAAACAAATTATTAAAGAAATCATAGCACTAGAAAAATTTTTCCACAGAGTCACAAAGAAAAATGCTGTTATTTGGACTACTATAGTTGTGCATTACAATTAGTAAAGACAACTGTATTACATATGACTAGTACACGTGCTTTCTTACCCCATTAATATTTTCTTGCCTTCACCTATAGTTACTTTAAAGATATACATCACAAGCAGCATTTAAAATGGGGGAGAGAAATGACTATAAAGAACAGCCTGGTAATTCTCAAGACTTATCTTTGGGTTAAGTAGAAGTTATTAGCTAAGTTAATTAAGTAACTTACTCTTTTAAACTGACAAGTTTAACAAGTGGACTGAACTCAGGAGAGGCAGAGAGAGAGAACTCACGTTCAACAGTTCTTCCCCGGACCTGCATCCACACTCACATTGCTAATTTTTCCCTTGTAACTTTGAATGTACAACATAACTCACTCAATTTACCAACCAAATCACCTTGGGCATGTTACTTTTTTTAATATACATAGCACTACTAGAATTACCTATTCTTCCCCTCCTCCTCTATAATGTGAGTATCAGAGTTAGTATTATGTCGAAGAAAAAGAAATTACAAATAGGTACCTACCCTCCCTGATATTAAAGAAAAAAAATGCAGAAAAAGCTTCAAAATACTCAGATAAATGACTACAGCATCTGTATGTAAATAGATAATCTACCACATATCTGTGTATTCCAAAGCAACTGTAACTACACCTTGACTGAAACTTACAAAAAAAATACATGTTGCTTCAAATTACAGTTCCACAGAAATACTCAGGTTTTAGAAAGTACTTAAAGAGTTAGGTTCTATTTTTAAAATGGAGGTAGAAAATGTAAATAGTAATTAGAAAAAGTAAACTTACCAAATATATTAGTGGAGTGTCCTTTCCTTGCAATAGGTCTGAGTTCATTATGTCCCCATCCATATATCCTATAATTATCCCAGGCATGTTTCATCATCTGAGAAAGGAAAAATTATAATCTATCAATATACGTTATTCACAGATGGTTATATTTATGTAATTGAGAGATTCTATTACCGTATCCTTACACATTCTCCTATATCTCCTACATCAGTATATTATTCTATTAACATCTGTATCAGTATGAAAACACACGTAACCACGTTCAACCTTAATCTACACAACAGAAGAAAAAATTGAGTGTAACAGACAAGCTGTTTTTATTGGGGAGAAAGGTGTCTGTCTGGCATTCTTTCTTTTTAGGAGCTGCAATCCTTTTGGAAACAGTTCCCCCTCCCTCAATGTGGTTATGATAGAGCTGTCAATCAAGCGCCTTTCATTTCACACCAATTAACAAAGCCTGGCTTAAAAACCCCTTACCCTTAGACCAAAGACCAGCAAACTCTTATCGTAAAGTAAATATTTTAGGCTTTGCAGTCCTTATAGCCTGTATAGCAACTATTTAACTTGGTTGTTTTCTGCTAAAACAGCCCTAGACAATGCATAAACAAATGGGCAAGGCTGTGTTCCAATTGAACTTTATCTTAAAAAATAGGCAGCATGCAGAATTTGGCCTGCAAGTTGTAGTGTGCACACCCCTGATCTAGACAAAATGATTGGGCACGTGTGATTCAAGCAGAGGCAATCAAGTCTTTTTACGCATATTGTTATAGATACTAGGAGACACAGGGACTCTCTCATTTTACAATCTCAAGGTCTTCCTAACATACAATCCTGGAGCTGATGGGGGCTAACTCCCAACATGGAGAAACTAAATAACCAAAGGAAAGAGACAGAGACAGATGCATGTTACTGACAAAAACATCTTCAGACGTGGATTCAGCAAAGCTTGAAGCCCTAGTTTAGAGCCACTAAGTTAATAAATATTTTTATATCACCTAATTTGAACTGAGTTTCTTACAACCCAAGGAGTTCTAAGCTACACAATAACAGACTATTTAATTATATATCAGCTGAATTATTTAATAGTAGACTGTGGTGTACCAAAAATCTATTCATTTAACAGTATACTATTCATTAAGACATTTCTCAACCTGTTTTTTGCAGCCAACGTAACTTACACATCAAAACCAGGCAAAGACACTACAAGGAAACAAAAAACCAATATACCTCAAAAACTCAGATGAAAAACTCCTTAACAAAAATTAGCTTATATAGGGAGAACACTATACAATGAGCAAGTGCAGTTTAACCCAGGAATATATGACTAATTTAACATTCAAAAACCAATCAATAGGGGCTGGCCCAGTGGCGTAGTGGTTAAGTTCACATGCTCTGCTTCGGTGGCCTGGAGTTCGCAGGTTCAGATCCCAGACATGAACCTATACACCACTCATCAAGCCATGCTGAGGCGGTGTCCCACATACAAAATAAAGAAAGACAGGCACAGATGTTAGCTCAGAGCCAATCTTCCTCACACACACACAAAAAAATCAATATAATTCACCATGTTAACAGAATAAAGGAAAAAAAATATACAATCATCTTTACAGACCTAAACAAAGCATTTGACAAAATTCAATCTCCTTTCATGGTTAAAATTCAGTAAATTATAACTACAAGGAAACATCCTCAGCCTACTAAAGCGCATCTTCAAAAAACCTACAGCTAACATAATATGAACGGTAAAGGACTAAATGCTTAATCCCTAAAGCTGAGAATAAATCAAGTATGTCCATTCTCAGCACTCCTTTTCAACAACGTACTAAAAGTCCTAGCCAGTGCAATAAGCAAGAAAAAGAAATAAAAAGCATAAAAATCAGAAAGGAAAAAAGAAGACTACCTCCATTCAGAGGATTTGACTATGTAGAAGGAAAATCCTAAGCAATCAAAAAAAGCCACTAGAACCAATAAATGACTTCAGTAAAGGAAAAGAATACAAGTTCTGCAAACTAAAATCAAATATATTTCTATATCCTAGAAATGAACAGCAGAAATGGAGATTAAAAAACAATTCCAGTTACAATAGCATCAAAAAACATAAAATACTTAGGAATAAATATAACAGAGAATGTGAAAGAACTATGTACTAAGAACTACAAAACACTGCTGAGAGAAATTAAAGAAAACCTAAATAAGCGGAAAGACATAACATGTTCATGGAATGGAAGATGGAATATTGTTAAAATGACAATTCTTCCCAATTCATCTACAGATTCAATGAAATCCCAATCAAAATCCTACCAACCTTTTATTTTCACAGGAAAGCTAATTCTAAAATGGCAAAGGTCCTAGAACAGCCAAAACAATTTTTAAAAAGAACAAAGTTGGGGAGCGGTGTAAGCATTACGGTGTAGCGAGTTGCTCCCTTTTCTTTCCCCTCTAAGTTATAGCCAGTAGGATATCCACTGACCAACAAAGGACTCTTTGCACAGCACACCAGAACCCCTGAGAGACCCCTACATCTATGCATCTGAAGGTGGATGGACTACACCTCCTGGAGGTGGTGGAACCAGGGGAGCAGTGGTGGCAGCTCCAGAGACCAAAGACTCCAGAAACTGTAGACATGCCTGCAACCAGAGGCTCAAGCGGCAGTACCCAAGGCCAGAGGCTCTGGGAACAGTGATGATACCTGTGACCCAGCCCCCTCCCCCAGTCATGGTGCCTTTGATCCCAGCCCTCCCAGAGGTGGTGGCTGCATCCAAGACTCCGATACCTCCAGCAGCAGCGGTGGTGTCCATGACCTAAGTTTCCAGGAATCGTACCAGCACCTAAGACCAGAGAGTGCAGGAACCACAAGGGCACTTGCAACTCAGCCTCTCCCCCTCCCTCAGTGGTGGCACCTCCAAAACCAGCCCTTCCAGCAGCAGGGACTGCGTACAAGACACTGGGCCCCTGGCAGCAACAGCGTTGCCTGTGACCTGAAGTTTCAGGAACAGCACCAGCACCCAAGACCAAAAGCTGCAGGAATCCCAGTAGTGCTCACAACTCAGGTATCTACATCCCCCCATGGAAGCAGTGGTGTTGCCCACAACCTCAGCCTATCTGGCAGCAGAAGTGACATCCGTGAACTCAGCACCCCTGGCAGTGGTAGCGCCAGAGCCCCGAGAAAACTCAGGAGCAGCAACATAAGTGGCACACACAGCAGTAGCACCCAAGTCAATGGAGAGACAGCAACAACAGAACCCAGGATCCCAGTTCTCCAGTTGCAGCATTGCCCACAACTTCAGTTCCCCCTCCCATGGCAGAAGCGCCTGCAGACACAACAAACTCAGTCTTGGTGGAGGTGACCTTGACCCCAGCTCCAACCCAACTCTCCCTCTCCCCCAGCTGCAGTGGGGGAACCTGCAACCCAGGTGAACCCAGAATGAATAGAGGTGCTGGCCAGCCTAGTAACCCCAATGGTGACACCCACGGCTGCAGCAACATCATAAGAAGCAAGGCACCAGCAACCTTGGAGGCACAAGCAGCACAACAAGGGCACTGATGACACCTCTGGCAAAGGCAGCGGAGGGTAGAAAGCGGAGGCTCTCAAATACAAAAAGCAGCAGCTCTGAATCAAAGTACACAAAGTCTTACACAAATAAGAAAGATGAGTACTATCACAAATGCACTGGCAGAGAAACAACTCATCAAGTACCATGAAAAACTACAGTAACACAGTATCACAAAAAGAAAATGACGATTCTCCAGAAACCAAACTTGAAGTCATGGAAGATCACAATCTAACTGAAAGAGAATTCGAAATAGCTGTCATGAAGAGATTCAACAGGTTATAAGAAAACTCAAAAAGCCAGTTCAAAGAGCTCAGGAATAAAATAATGAAAGAATGAACAGTTTAATCTACTTCACCAAGGAGATTAAAACTCTAAAAAAGAAGGAAACAGAAATTCTGGAGTTGAAGAACAGAATAAATGAGTTGAAGAATAAAGCAGAAAGCACTGGAAACAGAGCAGACCACATGGAAGAGAGAAGTAGAGAGCTCAAAGATAGGAATCTAGAAATGAACTATGTGGAAGAGGAAAGAGACTTAGGTTTAAAAATGGGAGAAATTCTACAAGAAATACCCAACTCAATGGGGCCAGCCCTGTGGCCGAGAGGTTAAAGTTCTGTGCACTCTGCTTCAGCAGCCTGGGTTTGCAGGTTCAGATCCTGGTGCAGACCTACTCCACTCGTCAGCCATGCTGTGGTGGCAACCCACATACAAAATAGAGGAGGTTGGCATGGATGTTAGCTCAGGGCGAATCTTCGTCATCAAAAAAAAAAAAAAAAATATATATATATATATATATATATCCAACTCAATTAGGAAAGATAATATAAGAATAACAGGTATCTCAGAGGCAGAAGAGAGGGAGAAGGGGGCATAGAGTTTATTTAAAGAAGTAAAAGCTCAGAAGTTCCCAAACCTGGGGAAGAAACTGAATATACAAGTACATGAAGGTACCAGAACACCTAATTATCTCAATGCAAAAAGACCTTCTCCAAGACACATTATATTAAATCTGTCAAAAGTCAATGACAAAGAATGGATATTAAAGGTAGCCAGAGAAAAGAAAATAACAACTTACAAAGGAACCCCCATTTGGCTATCAGCAATTTCTCACCAGAAACACTACAGACCAAGAGAGAGTGGAATGATATATTCTAAATATTAAAAGATAAAAATTGTCAGCCAAGAACACTCTATCCAGCAGTTATCTTTCATATATGAAGGCAAAATAAAGGCTTTCCCACACAAACAAAAGCTGAGGGACTTCACTGCCACTAGATCTGCCTTATGAGAAATCTTGAAAGGAGCCCTCCTACCTGAAACAAAAAGGCAAAGGTTTACAAAGCTTAAGCAAGAGGACAAATAGACAGAATCAGAAAATTGCAACAGAGTATCACAATAGGTTAGTAAAAACCTAATTATAACATAAAGTCTAAAGGGAAAGAAGGCATTAAAAATAACTATAACCACTTCAATTTGGTAATAAGCTCACAATACAAAAAGGAATAATTTGTGACAACAAAAACATAGACGGGGAAAAGGAT